TATCAATATTTACCATATTAGAAATTAAAGCTGAAAAATGTTTAAAACACTAATACCCATGCACACATTCCATTAACCGTCAGAGCAATGATGTCATTGCACATCTGGTAACCTATGAAAAGCTCTGCGTATTTGTGAGACTGCAAATAAAAAAGGCAAAACTATGAAAATAGTTTTGATTTCAATGGACCCTAAAAGAGCTCAGGAGTCAGACCACAGCCTGTTGTAAACTGAAAGCTTAAATCTTAGCTGTTTCCTATCTTTCCCTTGTCCTGGCATCCCGTATTAATTATTCTTCAATTCTATGCAATTATCCACAAACCACTTAGCAAAACCCACCCAAGACAGTTAAGCCTTCAACTGAAACAAAGCCTCACCACCAAAAAAAAACCATGAAAGAAGAAAAAAGACATGGATGGACATTTATACATTCAACCCTACCATTTCATCTTATGGGTCTAAAGTACTTCTTTTCACTGGCCTAAATTCTACGCAGAGACTGGGTTTTAGAGTTGTTTATTCTCCAGGATGTATAACTGGGAATTATAAATTCTATTACTGTATTCATTACAACATAATTCCACTACAACAAGGCAAATGAAGTTCCTAAAGAATTTTCCATTGACGTGCGTGCTCTTTGAGATGCATGGTTTCTCACAGATGCTACTCTACTCCCAACTTTCCTCATCTTCAAGCTTCCTGAACCCCACAGCAATTAGCTAGATATCTCTAGGAGCAAATCTATTTCTATATTCTCTAGGAGAAAGAAAAATGTTTCTATTACAGAAATATATATAATCATTTCTATCTCAACAAAGCAACTGTTTTTTCTGAGATTTGATTTTGAAAGCTTGTGATTCAAAGTTTCCCAAACAAGCAAACAAAATGATATATTTAGGATAAGAATATTTTTTAAAAACTACCAAACCAAAAACATGTGGTTTTGAATGTCTTCATTAAGGAATAACTCTTTACAGTTCTTAAGTATAAGCCTTCAAAATTTTCAATGTAATACTTATGAAATATGTAAATATTAATAGAGTATATAAAAAAGGTGCAAATTGGACTAGCCTCTGGAGAAAACTGATTAGAAATGCTGAAATCTTAAAGAATTGCGTAAAAGCATTATTCAAGTCCCACTTCAGAGTTTCACCACTGGTTAACCTAAAAATGCTATTGTGTTCTTGGGGAAAGTTACTAACCTTTGACCAATCCGGTTTGGGAATTTTTTTTTTTTTTTCAGGTTGGGAAACTTTGTATACCCCAATGACAACACTTGCTCAGTTGCTAGAGGGAGATACAAAGTTGCTTTCTGAGGAAACGCTGGCTTTGCCTGAAGGTACCACTACAGTTTACTGCCACACAGATATGTGGGTAGCCTTATATCTGGACAATGCTAGTTAGATTCTTCAAGTTTTCATAATAGGACATCAACCGTTCCATGTGTTCATCTGGTTTCTAAAACATTTACAAAGTAACCAACTTTAATCAGTAACATAGAAACTAATAAAGATAGCACTCCGAAACCTCATCAAAGTCTGTTACTTCAAAGTACAACATCTGCTATCCAGCTTTTGCTGAACAGCTCAAAGAAAGTATAACTTAGGGAAGATAGTAGAGGGACTACTGTCTTCCTCTAGGTCAGCAGTCCCCAACCTTTTTGGCACCAGAGACCGTTTTCATGGAAGACAATTTTTCCACGGACCAGGAAGGGGTAGGACGGTTTTGGTATGACTCAAGTGCATTACATTTATTGTGCACTTCACTTCTATTATTACGTTGTAATATATAATGAAATAATTATACCACTCTGTTCTAGGTAATCTACACTCTATAATCAGATTAATTTAGGGCAAAGGAACACATGAGTCTAACCTCTCAGAATCATTTTACCTAAGTTATATTTATGTTGATCCATTTCTACATCTGTTGTAAAACTATTTTTCAGAACCACCATCTGTCATTCAATATCCCTGGTAAGGAATTTCTCTCTGACTTTAACGCCCAGGGAAACAACTCTGTCTCTCCCTTAAAGAACTACCATGTTTTCTCTTTCTGATTAGTGTTATATTTTGCCTATTATCACCAGAAATTATAGATAGGAATGAAAGAAAGGAAATTAACTGTATTCAAGATTTCCAAAAGAACTTGTCTGTGGAAAATTACTTTCAGGTGTTGGGGGCATGTGGTTAGAAAGCTCCAACAGGCCTGGAACTCAAGAGGGAGAGATTTGGGGACAGGTAGAACACTCAGGAATAGTAATAACATTATTTGTTGAGCAATTTCTTTATGCAAGGCACTGTACAGAAAACTTACATGCTTTTTACACATATTATACACATAATCTCAAAAGAGCATGCAGGGAAAAACAAAATGACAGGAGAAACATGATTATTGGCAGAACAAAGCTTACTACAAGGCAAGAGAAGAAGATAATTATGATCAGTTAGGTAAGTGGCTCTTTCCTTAACTCTTACTCTAATCTGAATGGGAGCGAACACAAAAAAAGACCTGGGTGATCTGAATAGTGTCTGGTCTTCACAGATGGAAATAAAATAATCTCATGGCCTAAAGCTGTAGTCCCCAATTCCCACCCCCAGATCATGGAAAAACTCTCTTCCATGAACCTGGTCCCTGGTGCCAAAAAAGTTGGGGACCACTGGCCTAAAGATTTTATTTAAAAGGCCAGCACTCCACCCATTAATTGATAGTGGTTGTACGAAGTGGCAAGACTTTGAAAAGGATTCTAAAGATGTTTCTTGATTCAACAGGAAAGAATGTTAGGCCACATTCAATTAGCAACTGAGCAGTCTCTAGTTAGGACTGACTAGTGATGGAAAGGTGTATTGTAATATGGATGTAATCTGAACACTGCATATCTGCCATCCTAGAACTAAATATTGCTACTCTTGAGGTGACTCCACCCTACACAAACTACAAGTTTAATTCTTCTAGTAGCACTTTGATGCAAATAAACCTATAAAAATATGAAGTGGAGAAAGAGTAATAAACATTAGGCCTGAGCCAAGTTAAGAGGCTGCAGCCACCAATTTTTTTAATGAAATAGAAGGAAAAATATCAAGGATATATCATACATAGGGTTGAAGTTGTTTGATGAAATTTTTGCTTTTTATACAAG